TAGGTAAAATTCAGTTGAATGTTTAAGGTTGGAATATATGCTATAATTAACATTCTTTAAATAGCATCAGATGCACTATCTTGTTTCAACCTGGTTTATTTCTAAGAAATCAAGTATAAAAGCTTTGTCTATTATCTAGAACATAAAGATCTAATGAGCAACAGCCCTGCACAATGCGTTTTAATAGAATAGAATAGATAATTTCAAATTTTGACTTAACTTTTCTGATGTATCAATGTGTACAATATCTATTTGCAACATACCCTCACATCTCATTTTTGGCACCAGAAAACTTACAATATAAAACAAAAATTGGCACATGTATGATAGAATGTAGATGAAAAGGTTGCTACTATTTCCCAACTGGATATACATGTATATCTTCTATTACATGTAAGCACTTATAAGTAAGTCAATTCCAAAGCAAACGCAAAGAACTTCCAGAAACCAGGACATGATATCCTACAAGTATAAAATTGTGTGCATTGTATTGATTCAATAAATGCAATTTCTAAGTTGAAGGGCCATGTGATAAGAAGATGTACATCTGACTTGGATCTCATTTCCCCACGTATCATCAGGTTAAAGCATTCCAATTTAATTGTAACAATGAACACCCTGCTTTATCCCAAAATTGATACCTGAGAAAAGGGGTCTGTCTGTAACACTACCTGACGAAAGTAAAATAAAGTGTATCAAACATCTCTTAATCAGGTAGTTGGAACAACACCCCCTTTATGTACATTATATATTACAGCCTTGCATTTCAGGTCACAGTCAACATAGCTGCATAGAAAATTATCTCCAAGTGAGACAATACAGATCTGTGAATGCAAAACTGTACATTACAGTATACCCAAGTTGCCCTATGTGATTCATTATTGGCCTATACCTGTGAGTAAAAAGTCTCTATGTTCAAGGTTTCATTTACAGTCCTTGTAGTTCTGTAAATGCGCTGTCCATCTCATCTCTTAGCTGTTTGAACTTGGTTTTCTCTTCCAGCAATTCCTCTGCAAAATGCAGTCAAACATGCAATCAACGTCACACCATGCACTACTGCCATCTTTCAATTAACCAAGTAAGTTTTGGGATTTAAATCTGGTGATCAAATTCTGATCAACCTTGATGAAGAGACGAAAGGCACCAGAACTGAAGTGCCTCATACAATTGTATAACTAACACAATCACTGTCCTTCAGTTATGTTGGTACATGGCTAAATAATGTAAAGATGGCACTAGTATTTCATTAATAAGCACTTACAAGTGTACTTGTAATAACAATTGTTAGTTCAAATTCTCATTTATTTATGCTATTTAAAATAGTTATTTCAAAAATGGGTGCTACTTTGGAGCATGCTTATAAATACAGATTTTCTCTATAAAACTACAAATACATGATCACTACAAACAAAAAACTTAACATAAAACCTACAAAAATAGACAACATAATCTTGTTATTGTCATGCATAAGATTATATGGGTTAAGTAAAGGTTTTAATGCCTATGACTATATGGGTTTTGCAAGGGTTAAAAGGAGTTGAAGCAAGTGTTTCCAAAAATAACTCCATGTGAGCCATGTTTAGTGTGTCTGATATAGAAGTTGAACCTTGGCAATCTATCCACACTTTTACATTGCAAACTTCTTGAAATAATGTATAACTTAGATCTCTCGAAAAGGACAGAATATAGTCTCTTCAAATTAGGATGTTGTTTGACTACTAAAATGAGAACATGATCCTTTTGTAACCATTACAACTATTTTATTAGCATGAATAAAGTTAAGCAATTAATTTGGTATATCTGATTATTACTTTGCCATGGGCTAAGTTGTTATTCTGCTTTTTGCATTTTATGTCCTGGGAGCTAAAGGGCAAATTACATATGCAAACATACATAATTATGTAATGAAATAGCAACATGAATTGCATGTTAAAAATACTAAACATGAAAACTACATGTATGGAATAAGTCAATTGCCAAATCATCAATTTTTGAACATATATGAGATAAATGTACAGTCCCATATGATAAAGACTCATCAAATGCAAACAGGGAGAAATTAGAAATCAATCTTAAACCTGCTAGGTATATTCAGATATTCCCAAGCATGTTATGTGCACCAACAGATTCTGAACCACAAAAATAACAATAACAAATATACCATATTGCCAACACATCACTTTATAATAGCAATCAAATCAGATATGATGGCACAGTAGTTTAGGCTTTGGCATAGACATAAATAGGTGATATCCCCAGATTATATTCAAAACCTATAAGTACAGACAACAAATCTACAGCACACTAAAAATTCAAATCTTTTTTTGTATCATAAAAACCTATTCAAGAGTTCGGGAAATCTGGAAAGTGTACTTTTATTTTAAGCCATCATCACGTAATGATCACCATGGCAACCTCACTGGTGTACCTCAGTTAGCTGGTGGTAAGATAAAACTGACAAACTAACTGGAGAGAAACATATCAAATATTTCCTAGGCTTGATAGACATGATGTGGAATAATTGGGCTATTCAGAGACTTCCAATCAATGTTCTCATGTAAGATGTTAGATGATAAAAATATTACAATGACAGTATTTCTACAAATAAGAAACTGGCACCCAATATTTTTGATCAACAGCCAAATGTAACATATACAATATTCATGACATACGTGAACTGAGCCATCAATCACTGAGAGTAAAAGCCAAAACTTGCTCGATCATCACAATACAATTAACTAACAAAAAACATCAATCAATGTTATTTGTAAATTTGGAGTTAAACATCTCTCCTAAAAAAGTTCAAAACAGATAACAAATCTCAGATCTAGACATGAATTTTGGAGAGGGTAAATGTGAAAGATTTAAAATAAAACTCATTCATAAGTTTGTACTTTGTTTAAGAAAAGCTTAGACCATAAGTAACAAAACTGCTGGTAAAGTACCAATGGTTAAAGTAGAGATGATCTCTGAAGGTAGCTTCTACAAGGTATATGTAAGTGAAGAGGAATGTTGTTATATTTAGAAATATTCTCAACATCCTTCCCTGTAAATCCAATCAGCTTATGGATTAGAGGTTCAAACATGGTTGGCCATCAAATACAGGTGAAAACCTTTAAATGAATGCTTCATTTAGACAGATGTTAACCAGTAGGAATGCTTATCTTTTTTTAGTTATGTACTTGCAATTAAGATTAGGATAAATCATCATCCTTCTGAAAATTTCACTTATCTTGTTCATTTTTTCCTCTCAAATATCAGGATAAAAGTGCAAATGGGAACATAAAAAAGCAAAACATAAATGAATTTCTGACACACCAAAATAAATAAATAAATAAAAAAAACTTTGGAATAATGATCAAACCATTCTGAACTATATCTTAAAGATTTAAAATGAGATAAATAGGCCTTAAAACAGTTTGACATTAAACCCTTATACACTAGATACCCTAATATTTTTATGGTAATGAGCTTTAGAAACTTCAAAATGTTTCTGCTTATTCATACATGAATTATTCAGTTCAAGATCCAGGTTATTAAGGTCACACAAAGGTTACTAAGGTCACACAAAAACTTAGACAACTGAACCAAATCAAAATTTAGAATCATTTTCTGACAGACACTACTAACCGAAAAGTAAAGTAAGAAATTATTGCTGAATTGATGAGATGTTTGTCATATCATTTCATAATTCTATATAGGCATACTTTAAATGGGACTATTGAATATAACCTGTAGATTGTGTTCAATTGGACACCTGTGTAATATTTGCCAATCAGACACACATGTTACATGACATAATTATAACATCTCAGGATGGCTCATCACCTCACATAAATGTCAGTCTTAAAATATACCATTCTTAGCCTTTTATCTATTTAGAAAACTTTAATGCAGCTTTGATTTATCATTCACATATGATGGGTGTTCTGAATGTATTTGTATTTGCCAAATCTTCTGATCTCTTGTTGCCAAAAATATATATGTTTTACCTTTTAGTAATATAAACTTAGTTTACTCTGAGTCATTGTGCCCTGTTTAGTCTAGACTGACATTTTAGAGATTGGTGAAGAAATCTTATACTATACACAGAAAGCTAAGGTGTTAGCAGATTAAGCATAATGCTAGATTGAGACATGTATTTATATGCCATTGTGGAACATAACAACTTTATTGAACCAAATACCAAAATTCAATATTCCCATTATGGATGCTCTCATTATGTGACAGGTGGAAAAATCTATTCATGAATATAGGCTGTAAAACTGCCTTTCAAAAATCGTGCTTGCTAATACAGACTTTAATGAGATCGCACTGGTGCCTAAAGTTCAAGAGCTGAAGAGATTTAAAAAGATATGAACAGATTTTCCGTTTTGAACTGTCATTCTGAGAAATATCATTTTAAACCAATGGGAATTTAAAGGTACTCTACAAAGATATGAAAGGCTTTTTATTAACTCAAATAGAGAATGAATATTACTTGGATTTAAACAAGTAAATAACTATTATGCGGCTAATATTTCTTTCGAGCCAAAGAAAACTATTTTTGAAGTATTCAATTGCCTCCCATCTTTACACAGCACCTTTAAACATTCAACATACCTTGTTAGTATATGAGAGTTAGTAAACCACAGCCAAAGCCACTCTCCTACTCAGATGAGTGATTGCACAAGATACCCATCTAGTTAAAATTGAGCCAGTTCTCATATTCAGAAGAAATCCCATCCCTCTCAATAGCCCTTTAATAACCCTTGACTTATATTTTCTATGATCTGATCCAACTCTGAATATAAGAACCTCTGCTATTATTGGAATGTGCAAAAACAGAATTCCAACACTCAGATTGCACTCAGTAAAATTGGTTAGACCTGGCCATCAAAGAAATATACCCATAGCAGTTCTGATCCCAGAATTCATTGCTCTGTAATTATAGTACAGAATATAGCATATGAATCTTGGGACCAGTATCCTCCTTAGGTTAAACCTATATTACTCTACCTTCTGCTTGGTCAAGTTCCTTTTGTTTTACATTAACCTCCCTGGTAAGTAACTCGCACCTATGTTCAGCCTATGATTGATAGATAACAATTCAAACAAAGATCATTTAAGATTTACTACCTTCATTAAGTCCAACTGAGTCTCACATCCAAGGTTAATACAGAACTAGCTTTTGTAATTAGCCATCAGGCTTAATATCAACTGTGGATGTTCTTGAACCTCAGATCTTGACAAAGTTGCCCAAGTCTCTGGTCCTGAAACTCACTCATGCATTCAACCCTGAAATATAACATGCGGGAAAGCTGCTGCCATCTATCTATCGCTACGCTGGTTAGCTCATGCTGAACACAGCACAGGGAGGGAGTATGCCACATGGAACAGTCCATGTGGGAGGAGCTAATTCTGGCACAGAACAGCCAGAATCAAATCCTTCAGTGCATTGTAGTGCAAACATGGTCAATGTATCGACCATGAGGTGTTTTATATACAGGGTAGCTAAAATAAACATGGGACAAGCCATTATGATGACATGCGGTACGCTACCTTCCAGTCGGTCAACTTCTTTCTGCAATTTGGTAACAGTTCTTTCAGCTTCTGTTGCTCGGTGTTCAGCCTAAACATATATAAACATCATGAAATCTGTAAAACTACAAAATTCTGTACCTCAAAGATTGCTCCACTGGAATACAACACAATATAAGTTAAACATTTCTTCCATAAGATGCCTATGTGATCAAACAGAATGTATAGTACTAACGTGAGAATATTCAAAATCTAAAGCAGGTATTTGTTTCATTTCTTTTGTTTTCCCAAATAATAGTAAGAAACCTATACTGACAATTTGAGTAATACTCACATCTTTAAGTCTGGCTGTAAGATCTCTGATAGTTTCTTCATAACTGTCCTCTCTCTGTGAAGCCTGTAAAGTAAAACTCATAGCTTTAGCATGGGGTGATACCACCAAGCCAGAAAAACAAAAGCATGCATGAGTAAGATAGTACTGTTAGAGATGTATTATATTTGATAAAGGTTTGTATAAAATGCTTCATTAAGATGATTTTGTCACTAAATTACAATAAAATGATTTCTTCATTCAGAACAGCATTCAGAAATAATCGGTGTTCTAAGGTATAAGGAAAAACACAATCCCTCTCTTTGCAGTACCATATGCCAACTAGGTTTATGTGGATGGCTTTATTTTCTTCATCTTAATTTAAATCTTTAAACCCATGATGGTTCTCCTATATTTTGAAAAATACTTCAAAACATATTTCTATTTAAATAGGTCATACTCTCAGATACATTGTAAGAGATCATGCTATCTTTGCTTGAATGGAGTACATCAACTGCAAAACCAGAGAACCCACTTTTTGGACAATTACCTAACACTATTCCAATTTTAGAGAGTATAGGTTATGTACTATGAAATATATTGCATCTCAAAGACTAGACAGAGTATTTTGAATAATCAGTTCTGTTTCTATATTTATATGTAATTTCCAAGCAAACATTTGGTCTGCCCACATTAACTGTCAGTAGCAACTGCTTCAACAATTCAAATAGCAAATCTTGAGCTTGTAGGAGGTACAGTATGAAAAAGTCTCATACTTCAGATTCAGGCAATTCAGGTGAAATACATTAGCTGAGCACTACCAGTGAAACTAAATATATCCAAAGGCCTTGGATCATTTAGGGTCAGAAATCCATGATTACTCCAGAGATATAACCCTAACATTTTTGTTATTTTGTCCTCAAAAGTCTGAGCTATTTTCTAAACAATATTCATCATCCTAGTTTTAACCCTAGGATTTGAAAAAATGCTATGCCTATTATTAGATCCAAATTCATTTAAATGTTATCTGACTACAAAGGTCTAGTACATGTGATATAATTTGACAATTGGAAATCAAATCCACACAAGGGAGGCTTCATGCAAGGGTGCTTAATTTACCTCTTGTTCAGAAATTTCCAGGGATTTCATGTTATTACCAACAACCTTCAATTCTTCTTCTAGTTCAAGGATCTTACTGTAAAATTGTACATAAATGAATGATTAAAACATGTGACACTATGGTCACTGTTTGCTCCATTGTTAGTGGGATACTTGCTCATTCCATTCATGCAAACAAACACATTATCATGATGCGGGGAGGGGGGGGGGTTACTGCCCCTCCATCCATCTTATTCCCAATGTATCAGTGACCAATAGGACTCCAACAACAATAGAACCCGCCTTTTAGCAGGACCCCTTGGCATACTAGTAAATGTAGGCCCCTTGTACTCACCTTCTCTTCCTGTACTTCTAATGATCGGAGATTGTTAGTTACAACATGCAACTCTTCTTCAAGCTCCCTTAATTTTCTGTAAAAACATCACAAATTCAAACCATGCACAATTCAAAAACACAAGCTGTTATATATCTATACAAAACAGTCAATTAGAACAATGAATAAACGAGGATCTTAGTTATTATCCCGGGAACACCATGTTGGTAATCCCCTAAGATTTTTAACTTATATTCATCTTTGAGTATTTATCACTAACTGGTAAAATGTTATCTTCAAATGCAAGACATTCTGGGTAAGGATATTACTCGAGTCTCATATAAAATGCAGGTTATATAAATGTATAAATAACTGTATTAATAATCGTTAGTTTATCCTGAATGTCAATAAAAACAGTAATAATGTTAGAAGTTAGTCAAACATGAAGCAAAACATTACACACATGCTAACTAAATAAGCAAATATTAAAGATCTTCAAAGTTGAACATTTTCCAAGGAATCATAATACTGATCACATGACTTCGTGTTATGGGGTAGAACATGAAATCAGTAATTTCTTTAGAAAAGAATCAACTTTAAAATAAGAATAATTTCAAAGAATACATCAAAGAAGGAAAGAAAATCTTTATTGACAGTTTCAAACACTCATACCTATTTGAAATTCTAAGTTGGTAAGGCACAGTCACATGCAATGTAAAGAAGATAGAAAAGCATCATCACTAAAAAGTTCTTTCAAAGACATCTAGAGTTACTGTTCAATCAAAAGCTGTTTTAAAATCAGAAAGTTTAAAACGTGCATTGAATTCTAACACTATACACTCAGAAACAAACAGGGGAGATGGTAAAAGGAGCAAAAGTGACAGGTTAACATATATGTATGTATATAAGATAAGATTGCATGAATATATAGACAAGCAGCCTGACACCTAGATTTATAATAACTCACGACTCAGCTGAATCTGCTCTTTCTTCACTTCGCTCTAAATCAGTCTCTAACATCAACAATTTACGAGCAGCCTGAATTAAATATCAAAATTATATGTAGAAACATTTAATCTATCTTTATTTTTATTTATGATACCATAATCGAAGCTCCAATGGGACGAGTACTCGGCAGACTTTCATTGTTTCAAGTTTACCCATTCAACTTTTTATAGCAAAAACATATGAAAGCTGGGTAAGGAGTACTCTCCAAAGAGGTTCAATGGCATAACAAGGCATTCTCAATAAAGGGGATAACTCACGCCTCAGCAGATTCAAGTCTGGCCTCAGCTCTCTCCAAGTCAACTTCTGTGATAGCCAGTTTACGGGCAGCCTAAAGACACAACATACAAGTTGCATACCATACCAACAAGACAGGGACACAACATCTAATCATAGCTAGTTGCTCATTTTTAAATGTCAGTCTTTTTCTTGGTGATTTAATCTGATCATAGATTTTGTATTTTTAATTATGATTTTCTATTTATTATTGACTCATCAATTCATCAGGAAATATAAAAACAGAATCACATGATAAAAATGTAGAGAAACAACATCAGAATCTTTTAATCAGATTGATATATATATCTCCCTAAAATAGATTTAGCTTGCATGCTGATCTAATCACAAGGGTTAATGCAACATGCTTAGTGCGGAGTAGACTAGGAATGCTGGAATATTAGTGGTATATACTGAGTATATGTTGGTATGATATCAACAATTACATGTTGTATGTACATGTTATATTTCATTGGGTCAAGAATCATGCAACAGTTGAAAGGTTATCAATTGGTAAAATATCTTCATTTGTCATAAAATTCATTAATATTTGTCTCAAAAGTCATGCTTACATTACATTCTCAATGTTATACATGTTCTTAATAAAATGAGTTAATGAGTTTGGCATGATTTCCAAAATGCATTTACTAAAGTACCTAAAATATTTATGTTAAATGTACATGCAATACAAATGTTTAGGAAAATGGGTGTTCAAACATCAAACACAGAATGAAAGATAAATGTTTATCTAAACTGCTCTCATTTCTAGCCTTCATGTGAAACATATGAACTGAGAACAGTTTATACTAAAGCATTTCCCACTTCAACAGAATTACATTCCTCAAGGAACAAACCTTTTCAAAATATAATCAAATAATGTCAGATTAAATCCTTATCTGAACAGTAAACATGAAAATCTTTTTTCTCCAATTATGTCCTCTTAACAGAATTTATTATTTTAACTCTTAGTCTGATTTGTTGAAATGCGAATTGAAATACATCTATATGCATAGTTTTCAGCCAAAATATTGGATATATATTTTAACAATTGTTCCACGAGAAGTTATCTCCTTTAAGATGGTATCAATATTTGGGCTGAATATCACAATAAAAACTACAATAAAACACAATGTTAAGCTGTAACCTGAAAAAGGCCATTAGTAAAATATTATTAATATTGACATATAACTACATGAACATGTGTATGTTTTATAGGGATTGTATTTGGTGATGTATTGTTGTAATTTGTATTTTAACAAAATTGTTCAGCAACTAACTTTTGTAGTTGTAGGTTATTGCAGTTTTAAATGTTGAAATATTTTGCCCCATGTACATTTTTTACTGTATATGTAAGTACGGTATGTGTGAAGTGTTTCTTGAAGGTATTTTGAATATTGTGTTTTATGATTGTAAATATAAGTGTGATAGATAAGATGGACCTAAATCCGAGGATATTCAGAGTTCTTGGTGTATTTTCTTTCAATTGATGGTTAATGCTTCAGTAATAAAATTCATTCAAATATGTGGAGCATTTCTGCATGTATAAATAAACAGCCATGTGATACATTAAGTCTCGCCAGTTAAAATGACTATACTTGTCAGTTACTTATTCATCAGATATTTTAGATAAAACACATGTCACTAAGGACATACATATAGCAGGAGTATTTGGCTAGATGACTGTGTGCACTATGACACAGAATGAACTAATGTTAAATGTCAATGTGTTATTATTTACTGAACAGAAGGTCAAGTAGATAGATAGACCACAAGAAATCTATACACAATTGCTTAACTTATCCCAGCAACCACAAATATGCCTTATCCACCCCCTAAATATGGCCAGGATGCTGCTAAGCATTCATTGGATATGAGCCAAATTCCACTACAATTAAAACAGAACTAACAATCTTTACACTAGAAAATATGTGTCATTAAATCAAGATTTACATCCTATTTTCGAAGTACTTCTAATCAAAATAGAATTTCACATTTGAATGGCTCATTCAGAATTTGGTGCAGGAGATGGATAGGTCAAATTCAATATTTTTCATGATGGGTCAATCGAATATAACACTGAAGTGTCTCATCAGGTGCATAGATGGTCGGAAGGGACTTGATGACACATCAATCAAAATGGGTCACCATATAATCCAGGTATTGTGTCACCAAACAAAAGGACATTGCCTCAAAATATCAGGAATATGAAGAAAGATAACCCATGTGGTTTTGTTCCAGTATAGTGTATAGAGAGATAAAGGGTACAAGGCTTATCAGCGAGGCTCTTGAAGCAAGAGATAAGGCCCACAAAACAGGGAGTGGAGGCTAAAGTGGACACTAGAATCAGATAGTTTTCCATTGAATGACCTTAGGTGTAAACACCCTGGACTTTGGACTACATAGAGTGAATATTGAACAGTTTTTAGCATATGATGATGAGATGAGCAGCTCATATGCATGCCGAACACTGGATACAGCTAGTAATGATGTGACAGATTAGTTATTAGAAAAAATGAAGAATGAAGTCAACTAGGCACCAGAAGCTAAATTCTATATTTTCTATCCCATCCATGCTGATAAAATTTGTATTGACCAAAGTAGTTCTCGATTAATGATAGTACTGTACATCCTTGTACATGATGCAAGCAACATATCAAATATTAATTAACGATGCTGTATGAGTTCATTCATAATTCCAAAAGAAGCTTTCCAATATCCAGACATAAGTAGTGTATATAAAGAGACATTGACCAATCAGCTTTGATGTAGATACTTCAGGCATTTCTATGCTCACTGGGAAAAGCATTCTCTGATAAGGATGTTTATGAAATACAAATGAAAGATAAAATATAGCAATGCTCAAACTTTGCGAGGTAATGCACCAAATAATAAAAACCAGCAATCTACAGAGACATGAAATAAATGGGCCTATTAAGGAAACCTTATTTGGTGAAGACATAACCATAAGAGCCAAATAACCTCCAGATAAATCCAACATCTGATAGATAACCCCTGTTCCCAGAATAGCCAAACATGGTGTAATTGGTGTTGAATGTTGGCAACATATGATAGACGATATGATAGCTATAGCAGATGAGGTGCAGTGAAAACTACCTGACATGAACAAACTATTTTGAGCCACAACATCCTGTTTGCTTGCTAATTGACGACTAAGATGTTATTGTGGTTGCTTATATATCCCAACACAAGCATGACATTGTGAAGATTCATACTTGCAAAGATGCACTTGAGTGGCTTGTTGTGTGATGTGATGTGTGACACTTGGAAGTTGCACTTAAATGCAAAATGAAATTTCTACAATTGCTACTAACTGAATAAAAACTGCTATTCAATGAACAACATGCGAAACCATGCGACTTTAATGTGGGAATCTAACTAGACTGTGGTCTAGTATTAAGTAAAGGTCACCCAGAAGAAGTCTCTTCCCAATGTGTACTGCTTTTATAAAATGCAACATTTATGGGTAAATGAACCTCCTTTGAATGACCACTTAATTAAAGAGAGGTGAGAGTTTGAATGTTGACATCAAATTGCTTAATGTCACTGTGATAGAGAAACAGGAGTTTTTAAGAATGTTTGGTGATATCAGTTGATGTCTCAATGTGGGCCTGGGATCTAAGTTTGTTGTGAAATACGATATCCATCTTGTTTACTATGTTTAGGGTCGAATATGTTTTGCATTTCACAACAATAGAATCGAAGTTCAATGTTTATGAAGTTGAGTTTTCACACACATGTAGAAAAAGCCACAATATCTCTTCTCTCATGTCAGATCCATGCAGCCATGACGCACATATATGTTGCATGAGGACTGCATGACCAAGTGTAGACGCATAACGGTCATGCAGTCACGCACACATATCTGAGTCATGACTGCATGTGTTTACTAGGTGTGCTGAGAATTGGATCAACACACCATGCGTCGCACACTGGTCATGCAGTCACCTCATCGTATTTCCGATCAGCATCTTCAGCAATAGTTGTGAAGCTATCAAGATCTCTCTCCAACTGGCCGATTCTGGTCTCATCTTCTAAGGCCTTGTTGGTTAACACCTTGCTCATTCTACAGTTGTCAAAATAAGAGAAATCAGTGCTACATGGCTACATGGAAAGATAGAGACAGATTAGGATGGGGGAATCCATGCAACAAGCCCTTGCATTTCATGCACCGTCACCTCATCATATTTTTTGTCAGCATCCTCTGCAATATATTTGGCCTCTTTTAGTTGTTCTTCTAGGGCATCTATTCTTTCATCATCAGCCAAGCTCCTGCTTTCAAGCACTTTGCGTCCTCTACAGAGAATTACAGACACAGTAGGATACAGACAATGATACGTCACAACATATATCCACAACATACCAGTCTTACATCCTAGGATTAGCATCATAACTTCAGATAATTTTACATGGTATAATATGACTAACTAAGCCTCAGATGTAGGACTTTTTAAACATTATATTTGTAATCTGCAATCTGCATCATATGCCACGTCAGAAGGAATGGTGAATAGATATCCTGTAATGGAAAAACATTCAAATCATACACCTCATCAACCTGTTGATGGATTTTTTCCATTGAAGGTCTATGTTGTGAGAACAGCTCTTTAATCTGATGGTTTGATGATTTAACCCAGGACTCATAATTTTTGGTTAAACTGTCAAAATCTGATTGATTTGCTGTTCAAGTTCAAGCGACCATTTCCTACCTCATCATATTTTCTTTCAGCTTCATGAGCACTCTCTGTTGCTTCTTTAACCATTTGTTCAAGTACTTCTACCCTATCTTCATCTACAGTGTTGCGGTTTTCAAGCACTTTCCTAGCCCTGGGCACAAATATAACACATCACACCATGCATGGTTAGTTAAACTGGCATCATCACATGTATCATGTTTTCACTTGTTAAAATAGGAGACATGCGCAACAAGAATGATTTCTGTTGCAAGAACAGAGAAAAGGCATTTAAGAAAACAGCAGAATAATGTAAGGGAGAAAGAAATAAAGACTTGGTTAAAATTGAGATTGAGAAAGAAAACTATAAGGAAAGAAAACTACTGTAGTTTAAAAATGACATGCATGAAGGTATTCATATTATCAAAGCAGGTAAAATATCTTAAAGTAAAATTACTTTAAAACTTTGTAAGTCACACCTTATGACATTACGAGCCTCATTTGATAACACATGTATGGTTGGGAGCAAGATCCGAATTTAACTGATATTCTTGTGCTTAAAACATGTACAATGTATAAGAAGGCGTTGGTAAGCCAGACATGGTTTTTAAGTTTTTAAACCGCTGTGTATACAGCTATACAAAAATGTGTAGATTTTTCAAGTAGCATACGACACACAATAGAAATCTCCTAAGTACATAGGGTACCTGAATATAAATGTTTAACACAACTCAAATACTACAAGTCAATATTGTACATTTTAATCCAAACAGGACACATATAAAAGTTCTGATAGCAAATTGGCACCAAGTAAAGGGCTTTACTAGAAACAACTTAAAAGAACCACAAAAAGTATTTGAAATTATATCAATAGATAGAACTCTCAATAGAAAATCTGATCTGTATCACATTTAAATTATTCATATCAAAAACATTGATTAATAAAGTTCCAAATACTTTGAACATTTTTCATGATGAATTTCAAACATAATTTACAGAACAGGTAATACTAATATGAAGCTGTACATACATGTATAAAGATCTATGAATGACATGTTGCTCAACCCAAGGCTATACTAGTACAGTGTAAACTAATGAAGTCATATTCATAATTGAGGTTAATAACAAAATGTAATCACATCATTGCTGGACAAATTATCATTTTATTGTTTCCCAGTTCTAAATTAGATAGCGTGATGTTGCATTTTTTTAATTCAGGACAATGAAATGTGAATACTATATTTTCTTTCTAGCCCCAAATGCTATTGGAATGTTGCCACAAAATGAATGATACTTAGTGTTAAGAAACCTAATGTGATACATTTTCTGGTTTGGGCTCATTAAAATTGTCTTTGGCAGTGACATATAAGTATATGTACTGCACCTAAAACTTTTACTAATTGTCACATTCGTTGGTCCCTCTTCAAAAGAGGAGACACAAAAGATTTTCCTTATAAGGACAAAATATTTCTCAAGATGCAGTTCGCGGAGGAACAAATTCATACTTCCTTGTTTTCCCCCATAGGTTTAACATGGGGATTTTCACAGCTATTTTCCCATCGATATATTCATTCATATTCCCATATGGGAGTGCAGAAAAAATTATCAGAAACAATTGATCTTTAGCGTGCGGGTGTAAAAACAAAATTGTGTTATTAGTTTGATATAGAACTTTCGGTCACGCAAATAGCTACGAAAAATGTATCGTTGGAAAATATTGACCAATCAAATTTTGTCCTTTTTGAGGGCTTTTTAAGTACATATTTTGTACCTTCTCGATTAAAAACCCAACCACGAAAGGCTTAATTATGAGTGTTTAAGATCAAAGAATAGTAAGTGGGTGAGTGGGTACTGCAGGTAAAACCTAAGTGTGTCTCAAAAAACAAGCATTTTGAAATTGGAAGTGGAAATGTTACTGAGCTGATGCATCAAATTTGACAAAATACATATCTGTTGATCCTTACTATCATTATTATCAAGATTAGTGTCAGCCTTCTTGGTAAGCTGATTAGAAAAGTATTTATACCAAGTGGATCAAAAATTACATAATTTTGCTATCTGGTCTGGTAACATTAAATGAATTAACAATTAACTTGTGCATATTATTAGGGCAGAAAATGCTCATTGTAACACATGAATGCATAAAAGCAAAGATCATTTGGTTAAGAAAAATACTGATATATGCTTGAGAGTGCTAAAAATACTAGGGATGTTTTCTTGGAATACTGACTTGTAAAATATAAAACAAGAATAATATTGAAATTTGTCATTTTTTATAATACTTGCTATTATGAATCGTTGAGTTAACATTCATCAAAAAGAAGTCAAAAGTGGTGCATTATTTTGGAAGCAAAGCCCCTTACACGTCAACTGATTTAACAGCAGGGACACAGGGATAATACCCGGTTGTATATTGGGCCAAATTGACCACAACACAAATAAAAGATACAAGTGCTTTTATATAAATACGATATAGAAAATAGAAAAGAAGATAGTTAAACGTAAGAATAAGAGAATATGACAAAAAGAAATTTGAGGATTTTTTGCCCAAAAAATATATTTGGCAAATTACAAATGTTTTACTTACAACATGAATCAATATCCAAAGATTATATAATATTGAATTTGTAACCAGCAATACATAATTACACTATTTAAACAGGATAAATGATCGTCATTTAAGTTAAAATATATGAAAATAATGTTTACCTCTCGCTCTCATCTGCAGCTTTGGATGCTTCTTCCAATTTTTCTGTGGTGGATTGGAGTCTGGTTTCAGTATCTCCTAAGTCATCTTCAAGCAGACGGATTCTCCTAGTGAGACCAGCTACCTCAGTTTCAGCCTACAAAACATAAAAATGGCCTTTAAATATGTTGTTCATGATGGAAAATCCAAATATTTCAAAAGCAAGAACTTATGATTTTAGATTGGTACACCATGCTGGGAAATCTATTAGTGCTGCTCTTAAAACAGCAAGCTTTGTTTAATGGTTGTATAATACTTTCTTGAAGAGTGTACAATGTGCCCCATAAACCTAAAACAGGCTGGGCATAAGCTATACAATTAATAAATAATAAATAAATATACCCACAATACAATTAGTACAAAGTAAAAAGGTTGATGAATCACAAGGTGCAGAACAAAAACTTTTCAAAGAAGAAGACTGATGTACAGTATTCACTGTAGAAAAAATCAGGTTGTGCTGACTGTTTATTAAAATCTACAAGACAAAGTCCCAAGTAAAATATACTCTAGTTGTAAAATACTATTTATAAATGCTATTTATAAATAACATGTAATATGGAATTTGAACTCATAATGTTTGCTAAGACAACATATTCTGGTCTCTTTCTACAATCAGAGTAAACATCTTCATTTACTAATGTTTAATAGGATTATATGATTATCTATGGGAAAGTTATAATTCCAACTTTGGTCTGAACTATTTCATTTCCCAAGACTTTCAAAATCCTGCATATTCTCTGTTTATTTTTTACTATATTATTATATATATTGTGATGGTGCTTTGTCTGTTTTGAGGTATGTTACAGACATTTCTAATGGTAACTGCTTGTTCTACATTTTATGGCATTTAGCAAGGGGTGCTATATGTTTGCTATAATTACCCTCGTTCAACCTGGTAAATGCCAAAAGTCAATGTTTGAAGTTCAACTTTCAACAATTTCCATGTACATTTGCTACGCCTTTATATGAATGTTTTAATACTGAAAGTTAGTACTATGCAGCCTTATCTTATATTCATAAAAGTTTCAAATCAAAAGTTGAAATAAATTATAATATGAGCCTTTTTATTGAGAATAAAGTATAGAGTCACACTTGTCTAAAAAGAGAATTATTCTGATTATACTTTAGCTCAAATTAAATAAGGTATCAAATTTTCAGTTAAGTTTGACTGATACATCTTTTAATAATGCTGGGTGACAAGTGAAAGCAGTGAGGTATAAAACATTAAGGGCCCATCCTTAATATGCTCATATCTCACTATTTTTATTCTACCTATTTCTCTGATATTTCAAAGAGCCAAATGCCACTAAAATAGATAAGAAGTTAGATACAATTCAGACTTAATTTCTCACAAATTCTACATTTTTTACAAACTTCCTACTTAATACATGTGCTTGCCTTGTATCATATTTTATGAACTAGTTCCCTGTCATGGATTGATTTAAGGTGCAACCCATGTGGGTTCATTCACATGTACCAAATGTCTGTTAATTCGTAAAGTTTCAACAATCATCGTGTTTTTGTTGACCAAATCTAGAGATATTAGAGAACTGAGATAGAGATACAATCAAGAGAAGTAAAATGTCCTTCTCAATTATTCTCAAATAGCAAAACTGTATTTTTCTTTATCTTTTTTTTCAAAAAAATAAATGAAGTTTAGCATTACCCAGTGTTTTTTATGTGTTTGTCCTCAAGCCCAGGGTAACATAACTATTATACCTGTCTTCCTGATATATCATAACTTATGATAATAACAGTTACAAACATAGTTTTGACTATGGATTCTATAAATGCAACTGAAATGATGTTATGGAGTCTAATTTGATTGGTATGAAAACTTCATACCATAGAAATCCAAGATGACTGACTTTGACTGTAGACATTTTATCTCTAATGGGATGTTTGTACAAGTATAAGATGTCCTTATTTGAACAATTCTATTGATCAAATAAACATCAGAATTCCTTTGAACAAAATTTCAAAAATTGAGTTTACTGAAATAAACTAGTCTAGTAATAAGGTCATGAGAACTGAATGCTTTCTTGCATATAGTTAATCAATAATACTTATCTATCTAAACTTTAGAATAAAAACAAACATGTACCAGTATGTTTTCAGAGGTGCAATAGAAATTTTCAAAGCTATAAAATGCAAACAGTAGAACATTTTCAAGCATCTCATGAATAATTCCAAACAAATATTTTAAGACAGCTCCAACTTTTACACTATTTCATTAAGTTTAGCAAACCTCTTGACAGATTGCTATGAGCTGTTAAATATGTGTGATTTTAGTGAATCACTATGATAAAACATTGTATGATTAATACATCACTACACCAATGTAACTATGCATCATCATAAAACCAGAGATAAGGTATAGCATCAAGCTTTTTTCTTCCTATGCAAACAAATCAATATTCAGTGTCAAAATGTTATTAAAAATTATTTTGCCTTCTCAATGGCCCCCCAAATACACAACTGAATAATGAGATAAGGCAATGCTTTCACATGAACATGAGATGTAAGTTAGTCAAGCAGACAAAGCAGATAAATGCAAGCAACCATTTCATTTGTATAATATCAAGGATAGGATTCACTTCACTACACTAAGCAACATATCAGACCTGTATATCCAAGCTACTTATAGTATATAAAAGCACTTGAAGTCAGTTCATAAAAATCCATTTTATATTCTAAGCCATTTAAACCCCTAATATACACTTTTTACAGATAATGTGGTCAAATCTCAAGCTCCTTAATGTTGACTTTTGAAAATGTTAACTGGAGAAGATTGTAAACTGGATGGACATAAAGCTTAGCCTATAGTGAACCATTGTTGATACATGTACCGGCATTAGGTAATGTTCAAACAACCTCAAAACCAGCTTAGTGATTACAATAGACTTGCATTCCATTATAAATCAGATTGGCACACAATCCATTTCAAGCTAAATGCCTCTTTCATTTCATGAAAACAGTTCTAAAGTCATACTGTGGCTTCTTCCTATACCTGCTAGGTCGCATGCCTGGGACTGTCTAGCACAGGAACTTGGCAGCCATAAAATGTATAGAACTAAATACAAATATGGCAATACTCTACATTTTAATAATTTTATTGGATAAAATGACACATTTCGATTCAGAACTTTTGATATATGATGTTTGCTTATTATTGCAACTATTTTGAAGGTTGCAAAACTCATACTCATTTGAGAATTCTGAGCCAGTCAATTTCAAACTCCTAGTATGCATCCAACAGACTGACTAGAAATCAGTCTGTTATGACATACTACAGTCCTGTGGAAATTGCAGTGAAATTATTTGCACAAAATTATCAATTTGATGAAGCATTAATTCACAAAAATAAACATTATAACACTTCAATTAAATAGTAAGGTACAATTAAATGCAATAAAAAGTAACACAGCATATTGTCAAGTGGAAATAAAGCTAGATGAAGTAACAAATATGCAAATTAGTTTATTCCATTGGCCATTTTGAATAGCACTTCCTATGTAAACAAATATTTTGAATTAACAAATCTTAGCATAGGTTGCTTATAGTCTGAATATTATTCAGACTAAATAGGATATAGTCTATTCAAACTCCCATGATTTGACTTCCATAATCTTTAGCGTGTCTTTCATGAAGTGGACATTTATGGGGTATAGGTCGTTCACCTGTTATTTCCTCCTCTTTTAGCAGACTGTGAGCTTACATGTAGTCAAGTGAACTCGACTTAATGTTGTTGTTTCACGTTTCTTTTTGACGATTTGGATATTTGTTTTTTATTTTTGTTTTCAACATTTGCGTCGAGGATATTAAGCCCTGTATATTGCGGTAAATGCTTTTCTGCCCTCTATGCTCAACAAAAGTTACACAGATACGATAATGGATCCAATGCTTCAACTAGAATGTATTATCTCTTACCTTAAACACAGGAAATACTTGATAATTGAAGAAATGTAATCATTTTCGTATATGTTTGAACCAATTTCCAATATGGTTCTCAAGGTCACTCAAGGTCACTGAATACTGTCTAAATGTGAAACCATGCAACCAAAACGAAATCGTAATTATTTATTACCAACATATCTGTTTTCGGTTTCTTCACCCTCCTTGGTGTCTGAGAAGGCGATTCAATTGTCATAAGACGATGATAAACTTTCGAGTTGAAATCTCGATCTCAATATGGCTGCTGTTATTTATTGTAATTTCGTTTTTCGCTTCACCTAGAGTTTTACTTTTACACAATCATTACCCAGAATGCATCTACACATGGGGAAAAAAATTGTTTCCAGAAAAATTCTTATACTTCTTCAATTATCAAGCGTTTGACGTGTGTAAGGTAGGATTAAATACATTATCGATGAAGAGCATATTCTAATACATAATTTGTGTGATTTTGGTTGCCTAAACAGGCCAGGAAAGCATTTCCCTCAATTTACAACCGGGAAGTGTGTACGACCCTAGTATGCAAGAAAATAACAAAAAATAAATATCCAAATTATCAAAAAATAATGACAAATAAATCATACGATGGTCGGATTTATATGACTACTTACATGTGGCTTACCCCTCCCACAAATCCAACATTGCCCTACTGAAGGCAATCAACAATTTGACATGTATAGTAATTATAATCAAAATTGATAAAGAAAATGCAAGTGAAGATATCCACTGGAGGCAAACTGTCAAAATCAATAGATTCAAAAATATGAGAATATGACAGAATTAGATGAGTCTATGAGAAACCTTGAGTGCCAAACTGACAAAATTGGAAATAGGAAGTGAATCACCATGAGCAAATGTTGGTGATTGTGCAGTAAGTACACCACCATTATCAATCTAACTTGGCAAAAAGATGCATCAAATATCACCGAATACATATGGCCTTTCGAAAGTAGTAAAACGTTATAAAGACCGGCAAAATATTAGAGGTTTATTACGATACAAAAAATTAAAAAGTTCCAGAAAACATACATCTGCTCGCTTCCTCTTTTCTTCTACAAGGTCCTGTTCCCTCTCTTCTACTAAGTCTTTTGCAGTATCCAACTCATCCCGAAGAGTTTTCATTTTAGTTTTCAATGCCGATAAGACATTTGCGCCTGATGATCCCTTAGACATGATGAAAGTTTATTTTGAGGGTAATATCAATCCAAGATGTATTCAGATCAAAGATGGCTGCACCGCAAGCCAAACAACATTCAATTGCTATTGCGCGAGTGACAATAGTGCGATCGATATGATTGATCCAAATATTAATTATTCTGTTTTATTCACTTTCCACTTGTTCATGAGATATCTAAGTTACTTTCTAATTTGTTCTTTATATCTAAAAATGTCAACTGCAAACTTGAAAATCTGTTCAGTAAATGTGTCACCGTGGCGAAGTGATATAGCTAAACTGAATTGACCTAAGGTCAAATTGAGAAAAGCACACCTGATTGCTATTATGTTATTTGATCTCCCTCCCTAAATACACAGGTGCGATTACGACAGACGACGCATTTTTAAGGCAGACGACACATGTTAAAGCCACAGAAAAAATTTAAATTGTCGATCGAAATCATTATTATACATTATGTCACATGAAATATTGTAATGTTTTCTATTTAGGCATTGTTATTGTTTGGTGAATAAACATAGTCAATTAGGTTTTCCGGAGGTTTTCATTAGGATTAATCATTGCAACTTACAGTTGAATTTATGTTTTTATGATTTGATTCCCCTTGTTCTGAGTTCTGTTTACTGGGGGTTTATTGAAACATGTTATGTAGTATCAGGGGTAGGATCAGGCATAGGCCTCTATTTTTATCGCCTAATCTCAGTTTTCAAGAAAATTATCTCTCAAAAACAAATACCTGGGATGTCTAATACAGACACCGAATGGAGTCTCAAAACGAAATCTTCCTCCCAATCTCTGCACCAAAGAAAAAAGAGCATGTTGTATACACCACTCGTTGGTCCAGGCCAATGCAGTTATATGTGTATGGGGAGGGGGTGAGTAAAATGCAAGAAAAAAAACAAAAATGATATTTATTTTTTAACTACTGACTGTAAATATTACTGAAAACCTGGAAATATTGAATATATAAAATAGGTTTTGGATAGTGGGTCTAATTATTAAATGCTGGATGTTCAGTGCCTAGATTTCTGACAGTAATCAAAGTTCCAAAATATTTCTGTACCTGGCTGCAGATTAGTAAAGTAAGCAGCTGTAAACCATAGACGCTAAACTATTGCAACTAAAAATAAATATATGCCTACGCCTATGAAGTCAGACAGGGATGGTATCAAAATATAAGAATAGCTTATTAGCAATGCCTGGCCCTAATGAATCCTATCAACCCCCCCGTCAACCCCATACCCATTGTCTTATATAACATCATGTTGTTCTTACCCTTCTCAAATTTGCGTAGACATTTTGGATTTCTGTGCCAATTATTGTAAATTTAATTATAGTATTTGAGTTGACCCCTAATTGAAGACAAGGAACGAACCCCCTCCTTCTTGACCGCTGTGGTCTCTCTGGTTCATCGGGGAGATCTTCAATGTCCGAGAAAAGTGGATCATTATTATGAATTATTTTGTCTAACTCAGTAGTCGGACAAAACACACTACCCTCAGGCTCCGGTCTAATGTCAAGCTGATTTTTGGAATCATTGTTGGAAGATTTAGCAAGTTTTTTAATTTCTTTATCTTGTCGTCTCTTTCTTCTACGCTCTTTATATTCTGTCTTTTCTTCTTTTGTCATGCCTTCATATTTGTCGGTCTTTTTCCTTTTCTTCTTCTTTTTGACTTTAATGTCTTGTTCACTGTTAAGTGATTCTGTGGATTGCGTTTTATTAATTGCACTGGTTTCTGTATGTTTTGACAGGTCCCCACATGCGCATCTTGCAGCGGAAGTACCATCATTATTTATGTCCCGACATTCATGGGTTGTATTCAGGTGAGGTTTGATGGGTATAGTGCCCCCTTCGGCGTCCATGTTGCCCTCACTCTCAGAATCCTGAAGGCAAAGGAACCCAGAGTTAACCTCGTCAAATTGCCTCACCCTAAACTACGCAAAGTTTTTATTCTACGTACCGATAATAAAATATTAAAATGAGGGGAGTAAGTATTCAATATGGAACAGCGTTGATTTTCCTATTCAACTCTTTCCGCCGAGACTGGTGTACATTCCATACGTTACATTCCATATAAGGTGTACTGACGTCATGAGTAATCAAAGTTTTTAACAAATCCTAAAAGTTTTTTATCCTTAGTCCTAAAACTGTCAACATCCGCAGGATAAATGCTCCTTTATTCCATGTTAAATGTCGATATGTCTTCGGAAGTCGATTCTATTTATCATTAAACTCCTATGGTTGGCATTGGCAAGTCATGATACAGCGGTGTGGAATTTGCTATCTCGCCAGTTGTTTTTACCTCATGATCTTTACCAGAAGTGTTATATTAAGCCAGGGTGTACAGTACAAGGCTCCAATTTGCAGCTTGCTCCTGGGTTATTTCGGTATCCCATTTCTCAGCATAAACAAAATTTCACTAAACATAAACTTTGATCCTAGTTGCTAAATCCAATAAACTTTTTCAATGAATGAATGATAGACACTAATAGTTGGCAAGTGGTATTTTTGGCTTGTATAAAAATATTAAAGTACTTTAAAGTATGGTTTTAACATCTCACACTGAAGTCTAACTCTTATCAGCCCCAATCGGGCGTACATCATTTAAGATATGGTTTATAATAAAATCGATCAATTTTTATGTTGAAATAATAACCAATGCTGATAATTAAGACCATTTAGTCATAGAGGTATGATGTGATTATTAAATCTGTTAATAATTAATTGTATAGTTTTGCATTGATGGTCATTTTAAAAGTAATAGTCTTAATAATGATTTTTTAATTCATTTAAAGATGTTCTTCTCCCCCTACTTCAACAACAGTTGAAGTAGATAGGGGGAGGGGTCTAGGGTACATTATAATTAATCCAAAATCCGTTTGATTCCTTGAATTCAGGTTCATGCGACCAAAAACAAAATAAGATACGAACAGATCAGTATGATTAAAACGTTTCGTTGAGAGGGGGAAGTCTCTGGGTAGCTGGGAACATACAGTAGATACTAGATAGGGTTGGGATTCGCGGGAAACTTTAAGAAATTGATTTCACTTACATCTGTGAGTCTTTTTTCTTTGGTTTCTAGTTGGTTGTTGGCTTCAGCTAACTGTTCTTGAGCTTGGTCCAGTTCATTTTCTAATAATGTTACTCTCTTCTGTAAGTTAGCGAGCTCCTCTTCTTGCTGGAAGACAGAAAATAAAAAAAACTAATTATGAATCTTGTAACAACAAAACTGATCTAATATGATATAAGTGAGCAATATAGGGGCATAGATAAAGTAAACTGAATTGTCCATCTTAATCAAGATCTTTAAAGAACAAAGGGAGCATAAAGTTATGTTTGAGTGACTCTTTTTAGGCTGGGGGGGGGGGGTTGATATACCAAGTATGATATACCAAAAAATGAAAATAAAAATGAAAACAATCACATTTGGATTCAATATTTTATCTGTCACAAATATATCCTATATTTTAATATAGGATATATGAACAGTAAATATCTAAGTGTCTAAGATAATTGTAAAAATATTCTGCAAATGTAATTCAAAATGGCGGCTATGCGATAATTGGCATTAATTATGTATGTGCTAAGAGGGGGTGAGGTAAGTTTATGGAAAAGCAATATGATTTGCGAAACACTGCCAAATGTTAGGGGTCATATATCAAACATGGCGGATATTGGTTTAAATATAGCATCAGTGGCAGATATGCTTATCTTCCGAACAGTTATAATCTCTTAATCTCATAATTTGATGAGTAAAATGATATGCTTTCAATTAACCACTGCATTAAATATAGCATATTTTAGATGGCTTTAGATAAGACCGTATCTAGATAAAATTAATTAAAGGCCCAACTTTTGTTTTTCTAATTTTCGAGTAGTGTGTAATGGCAAAGAAGAACCCCATAAGTTTCTAAATTTTTACTGTTTGCTTCACTTTATGCTTCTTTCGGCAGAATCCAAGCACCCCTCCCCAAAAGGTTCAAAATTCAAATCAAATACACCAAGTGTTTTGAAGATTCTGAATTTCCCGTTTTATAACAGTTATTCAAATGAATTTGTTTTTATTGCATAAGCTTAGACGTTAACCATTAGTACATGTAATATATCAAAATTAATAATACCCTAAAATGCTCTCAAGTGACCTATGAAACGAAGGTCGTGACCTAATTAATTTGATTCATCTGGGTGATCAAATCAAAGTAAGTTTTTCGGCAAATAAAAATAACTTTTGAAGGAATATTTTGCTGAGTTAGTATACTTTTAAACGTTCTGAATTATATGTTAAGCCGATTTTAAACTAAACAAAGTGTGTGTGTAGGGGGGGGGGGGGGGGTTAATAAAAATGTACATTTCTTACCTTGCTTGATTTCTGTTCGAAATCTTTCAACTGTTGGTCTAGCTGATCTGCTTTGTCCAAAGCATTCTCCTTCTCAGACTTCATAGCCTGCATTTTCTTTTTAATGGCATCCATTTTGTTAGTTTTCTGCTACTTCCACCGGAGAACTTAGAAACAATTTGGGAGGAGATCCGTACTACCACTGCCTATCGCTGTATCCACAATGGCCGAGAACAGTTAGTGCTAGAGACTGCTGAAGTGATATCTGATCTCTTCACGTAAATAGCAGGAATGTTGGTTGGTTGCTGATGCTGCTGGCCTATTAGCAGACGGCCCACATCTTGTGATGACCTCTGAACCGGCTACGTCATCGTGAGGAATATACTATTACGCCCATGTTTGGAAGCAAGGAGGCCGGACTGACAAAACTAGCTTCAATACTGGCTGATAATCCCCATTAATCTAAGACCACAAAATATACATGAGAGCAGTGGGAGCACATGGTTCTGCATACATTACATTAACATCTCATGCATACAGAGTGGTTATATGGGGTAACCATATGATCAAGTGCAAGATGAATTCGTTAATAAGGTATAAACAATTGAATAGTTCATATTGGCCTACCTCTGAAATCAGTAGTATGAAATGTGGCACCCGATACCTTCAAAAACAATAAATTGATTAAGTTTAGTTTTTTGAGTGTCATTCATTTCCTTATTGAAATATTTGGAACCATAGTATTTCCGTCAGACTTTTGAAAAATGTACCATTCATTCTATGAATATTTGTCTAAAGGAAACAAAGGGGAAGTTATTACTATTAGTGGCAAATTGTAGATGTGATCGTTCATTATATACTTTCAAGGACAGAATCATTTATAAACACCCTTTTGAGTGACAAATATTTCCAATTTTTCTTTATTAATGAAAAGTATATCAAATAGTTCAATATAATTCACTTTGCTAATTCCATATGCTAACAAGTTAAAAATTATCCTCGTTTGCATGTGAAGATCAACCCCTGGTTCACATGCGTCTGTGATGTAACCCAAACTTTGAAATATATAATGTTCATTATTCTCTTCTTTCATATCATAATAATGTGGAACTCGAGTTGTTACTAACGTTACCCATTGATGTACTAATCCCAAGATAAGTTAACCCCATGTAAACCTGTTGAAACTTTGCATTAACCCTTTGTATGCTTAATTAATGTGGCTTCGATCATCCTCGTCTATTGTAAAGTGTTAAATGGTGTAGCATATGATTGTACTTTATGTTTTTTTTCTTTGAAATTTGTTTCTTTTTCAGTGAGAAATGCTTTCAAAACTGACCTGTCTATTTTTAAGGGTTCAACTCAGCAGATGCCAGCTAAGAAGATATAGATACAGATAGGGCAGATGCGCAATGAAGCTAAGGTGTTCGCCGGCACTGTTATCGCTCAACTCAAAATAGCACGAAACATCTCATAAACATGAATTTCTGGCAAAGTCTGATATAATACACGAACTGGGAGGATTCTACTCTGAGCTCATCAGCTACATGTAGCATCATGGGACGAAGTCAATCATTCAGATTGTACTCTTTCAAATAGATTCTGCAATGTACAACGTACAACGCTACCCTCGTGGTATCATTCTTGCAAATGATGCAGGGTTCCCAAATTTGCTCGTACTGAAAGTCAATCCACATTTAATGCATTTATCTTCTGGTAGAATTGGTCCAGTGGCTACAATTTGTGAAATCCTGAGGTTTAAGGTTTTGCAAGAATAAACGTTTCGAAGAACTAACTATGCTGCGTTATTTTTATATCGATTTTGTTTTTGTTATAGTATATAAAAGGAAAAGTTATAGCCCTATAAGTAGCCATCATTTCGCTACTCGGCCCGAGAGAGGGTTTGTTAGTATTTCTATGTTCCAGGTACCGTTGGTCGCAGTGAAGACAATGCGTGCGAATAATGGTACTTCCCAGAGTCCTGGGTTTTTGGGACTTGAGTGAATAAAAGTGGTGAATAATTGGTTTTGAGTCAAGAACTCGAACCCAGAGAAGGACGAGTACATAGTCTTTCATCCGAAATCCATATCTATTAGTGAAATATCATTGACCATTTTGCTCATTTTCCATTCAAACAACTTTAAATGTGGTATGGTAAAATATGTACCATAAAATGTATACAATATGTGTTTCTAACTAAAATTTGACTTTCTATGACATAAAAATACATTCTTTCGGGTATTTTTATAAAATATGAAATAAAATCATTGTAATTATTTGAACACATAAAAGGATGTGATGAGTATAAGAATGCATTCCTCGGTTCCCTTACACTAATTCCGAACATGTATTGATGATGTAAGTTCACATGGTGTATGGAAAATAATGCTGTAATTACAGGCAGATTCTTTTGACAGGTGAACGCCGGTAAAACAGACTGTTCATTGCTACTTTCATCCTTTCTTAAATACTTTAGTTCACTCTCTTCATTACATCTCTGCTCTATGCATTTACATTTAGCAACTCAGTTCATTTATCATGTATAAGATATATACCGCAAACTTTTCGAGAGCATAACTTTCACAGTGAAATAACTAAAAAGCATTACGGTGACTAAAGTTCCCACATTTAAAAATGGTAGGAAATGTACGTTTTGTCTAGGCCTCACTATATCAACGGTTTCTTCATTTGGTTAGCGGAGAAATTGGGTATAGTTTCGTATTGGCTAACAATTCCTTGATTTATTATGACCAGTTTATTTCCGGATGCTTGGAACATAGGGAAAACTTTTTTTTAGTTATATTCATTCTGTAAATCGTACGTTATATGATTTTCCAAAATCATAGATGTAAAATAAACCTGCTTGGTGGAGCAAAACAGCACAATCGAAGGCCAACGGACAGGTTTACTCGCTGTTCATCCAAACGATATGTCACAGCCAAACGCAGACAGGGGATATCGAGATTAAAGGTGCAACAATTAGTGGACCGGTGTCAAAATATATCTAAGTTTGGATATTTCAACAAGACTAACATATATTTTGTTATCTCCAAAGAAACCCCCTGGGTGAACATCATTTCAGCTGATATTTCTCTTCGGAAATATGGTGGATCTTAAAAGTCTATAAGTGGGACTCCTTTAAGCTTTGAACTGAATTTACACTTCTTAATGCTGAAATTGATACATGTAGTTTATCCATACATTTTAAGAAAAAGTACAAAGAAGATGTTAAGCCGGCCAAATGTTGCCCTGATTGCTCAGGAAAATAAAATGTATTGGTATCGATATGGTGAACTGAATTCAACAATGTTTTTCTCTTAAATTAATTATTGAAAACATTCTGTAAAGAAACACGGTCCTTTATGCAATGTTGACTGATTGACAACTATTTAATGCAAAAATAATTTATATAAATTTTATATAACTGTTTTTGCTAACATTTTTTGTTTTATAAGTGCAATTGTTTTTGTTCCTTTTTACCTATTCTTGAGAATGAAATAAAATATTTTTCCGAAGCTTCTTGGAACAAAATAGCATATACAAGATTTTCTTAGATCTCTCAATATTATAGTTCTTTGTACAATTACAAAATTGAGAGACCTAAACACATTGTGTTTATGTCATTTTATTCAAATGAGGTCCGGATAGATGTTTCATTTCATTCCGAACATATGATACCAAGAGCAAAAGAAGTGTCTGATGTGTTTTCTAAAGCCAAGTTCACACAAACGGCGCTTTGATGGCGCTTTAATGCGGCGTGCAAAGCGGCTTTGTATAAAAATTTCAGAATTTTTTGATGACTGTTCTTAAGAGAAACGTGTGTTCAAAAAGTTCACCATAGTACCCATCCTTTAGAATTTTCTCTCTACAGGCCTTCTTTCCTCTTTAAACGAAAGTAACGTTTTCATCTCCAGCTCAAAGGTGGTCCTAAATTTTAAATTGTGAGCCCATATTTTCAAACTGAGTCAAGATTTTCAGATAACATTAAGGTCCGACAATTTTTCACCGCAAAAGATTTTTCTTAAAAAATGTTCTAATAAGACAAGCGAACTGTGAACACTTGCCGGGTTGCCATAATAGTTGGGGAAGAGCCAAAACACTTGGGTAGCCCAGAACAACAGTTGGGCTTCCACAATAAATCGTATCTCTTCAAGACTTTAAACAGTCAAAATAACAAACGTAAACTGTTTCTAATACTAGATGAATAAAATGATTTATGAGTAAAATACACGTATGTGGGTTCAATAAACTTTTACACAAAGGAACATTGTATTGTTACCGCCGTCTTTTGCGGACAAACAATGTTTTTGATGTGTTAGCTTGAGGTCAAATTTATTATTGATTAAACGATTTTATTATATCAGGCTGTATTATCAGAATTATTATACTTTTCTTCCCAGGTAATAATACATGTATTCTCCCATCTGTAATTCATGTATATCAAAGTCAATGTTGTACCACAAGTTTCACATTGATAGTCCATGTCACAAAGTCCTTATACACCATAGTCCATATCACAAAGTCCGTGTACTCAATAGTTCATGCATCACACAGTCCTTATACACCATAGTCCATATCACAATGTACGTGTACTCGATAGTTCATGCATCACACAGTCCTTATACACCATAGTCCATATCACAAAGTCTGTGTACTCGATAGTTCATGCATCACACAGTCCTTATACACCATAGTCCATATCACAAAGTCTGTGTACTCGATAATTCATGCATCACACAGTCCTTATACACCATAGTCCATATCACAAAGTCTGTGTACTCGATAGTTCATGCATCACACAGTCCTTATACACCATAGTCCATATCACAAAGTCTGTGTACTCGATAGTTCATGCATCACACAGTCCTTATACACCATAGTCCATATCACAAAGTCTGTGTACTCGATAGTTCATGCATCATACAGTCGTTATACGCCATAGTCCATATCACAAAGTCTGTGTACTCGATAGTTCATGCACCACACAGTCCTTATACACCATAGTCCATATCACAAAGTCTGTGTACTCGATAGTTCATGCATCACACAGTCCTTATACACCATAGTCCATGTACTCGATAGTTCATGCACCACACAGTCCTTATACACCATAGTCCATATCACAAAGTCCATGTACTCGATAGTTCATGCACCACACAGTCCTTATACACCATAGTCCATATCACAAAGTCCTTGTACTCGATAGTTCATGCACCACACAGTCCTTATACACCATAGTCCATATCACAATGTACGTGTACTCGATAGTTCATGCATCACACAGTCCTTATACACCATAGTCCATATCACAAAGTCTGTGTACTCGATAGTTCATGCATCACACAGTCCTTATACACCATAGTCCATATCACAAAGTCTGTGTACTCGATAGTTCATGCATCACACAGTCCTTATACACCATAGTCCATATCACAAAGTCCGTGTACTCAATAGTTCATGCATCACACAG